GGGGTTTTGATATTTTTAATATAAGAGGAAATACTAGGTGCTGGATTGCAGTTTAATATGAGTAGAAATGGGGAGGATTGGTTTTACAGCGTAACAAGGGCTCGTCGGAGTCGAAATCACCTGCGGAGAACCCAAAGTGACGTCACCACCAGCCGCTCTCAGAGCCGAGCTGATGAGCCTCTGGAAAAAGGTAAGCTGGTTGATGCTGTGCTGAAGGTAGTGGCAACCGAACCGTCACCATCGTGTAATCTGAAGCGGTTCTTGGAGTCCGTCATCCCTTCAGTTCCGGCTCAACATTTATCCAAGGTTTCCTTGATTGTAAATTAATTGAAGTTTTGGAATTTTTGTGCTTAATTAATATTTGACTTCATCTGTAGTAATTAGTTCCAAAAGATGGGTTTATTATATTAGTGTTATTAGGATATGCAATGCGATTTTAGAAGCATTTTTGGCTATGGAACATGGTATCCTGCTCAGACGAGACTTCATTCTTCAAAGGTTGTAGCTTGTTGGCAGTTGTTTTGATTTAATAATTTACTAGGTATTTTTATGCTTTTTATTGTTTTAAACTTATTTAAGAGTTTGTTGAAGTGGTCCTCTCTCAATGCTTCTGCATTTACAAGATTTATGCCCACCATTTAGAAACTGAACTAAGTTTGTTTTCGCATCAGTAATTTATGGAAGGATTTGAATTTTTTGGGTTTTATTGTTTGTTTTCTGTTACAAGTTTATGCTGCTGGAGGAGATGCTGAAACCTAGAGTGGATATAAAATCGTAATTTTTAGTTAAACTTCAAAGAATAGTTTACTGAAATTTAAAATTGTGAAATTTTCATCATTACAACACTTCGACAGTGTTATATTTTATTACAAGTCACTGGTGGAATTATTTTCCTGCTTGAGGAAGCAAAATGGCGGTTAAAACTTTTTTATGCAGAAAGTTATGTTGAAAGATGTAGTGCTAACACATTGAAAATCTCAAATTAATGAGTTTTATCTTGTCTATTTTCTATTGATATTTTGTTGAAATGGACTCCGACTTAATATGTTTGAAAATTATTAACAGACGACGATTAGGGGATGGAAAACATGCAATGTGGAGTTTCAGCCATACTTTGTGCTAGGTGATTTATGGGAGTCATTCCAGGAATGGAGTGCATATGGTGCTGGAGTGCCATTGTTATTGAATGACAGTGATTCTGTGGTTCAATATTACGTGCCCTATTTATCGGGTATTCAATTGTATGCTGACCATTCAAAGAGTTCAGCAAAATCAAGGTACATACTTATTGCATATGTTCCTTTCAGATAAAAATACTGACCTTTTGGGGGATGAATTCAGTGAAGCTTAATATACTTTTGAAAGGAAAAATAAAGGAGAAACTGATGCAGGAAGACTCAAAGACATGCTGTTCTCGTGTTCCCTTTCA